ACCGTTGGTAAAACGCTTCTATATTAATATCTACGTTTACAGGAAATTCATCGGTTAAACACCGTTATGCTACAACAGCCGAGCATAGGCTTACTACTTTTCACTGGACAAAATTCAAAGACATACATGGACAAAAATTCACCAAATTGAGTAATAAACCTTTTTATTAAATTGAGTCTGGGGGGGAAACATATTCATATATACTGAAAGTATTTTGCAAGAAGTTTGGTTAAAACTTGCATTGTATAGGCTTTGTTAGAATTTTCCAGCAATCAAATATGGAGCCTTTGCGGTTAGGTCTCTCCCTTTTTTCTCTGAGTTCTCCGGTTTTCCTTCCTAGACCTCGATCTAGAAACTCAACACGCTAAAATTTCAGTTCGATCTGTGAGTTAGCCATGCCCTCACTTATATCCAGCCCAGAGGTTGTTTCATGCCTGATGTGTGAGTAACATGCCCTGACACTACCGCCCTTAGTCTCCTAACACTGAATTTAAAAAGCACAAAGCCAACAAGACGGAAATCGATTTAACAGTTAAAACTCTTACAGAACATAGCGTGCAGGGCCTAAATGGTTCCCTGTAGAGATTCTTTAGTATACATGTTGGTTCGCGCCATAAGTCATTAGTTCGCTGCAGGCGAACATCTTTAGGCCGTGAGGTATAAATTGTTATATATTATAGCTTGCACGAAGAACCGAACCCAAGATATTGTTAGTTTGAATTGCTTCATTTTTCATGTAAAATTTTAGTCTAACTTAAATTCAAGGCCAAAATCTAGGAATAAACAAAATAATTTATTGTCTTTTAAGARATTAAAATTCTTCTTTAAACAGCCGATAAAAATTCGCGCCAAAAAATCTTACAAAGTACAACTTGCAACTTTAAAAAATCCATTGCGACCAAAGATGGGTAAATAACAATTCTTTTGTACTTTCTAAAAACATTTGTTTGCATGTGTTTGGAGATTGTTTTCTCACGTTTTGTGAAGATATTGAATCTAGAAATTCGATTTAAAACTCATCAAGCCGTACCATGAGGAAACGGCTTTTCTTAACTTGAAAGAAGACAAAAATGAGTGGGTTTTTTGAAAGTAAGATAAGGTTTATGGAGAGATACTGGATGATAGACACTGTAAGGGGTAACTTTGAACTGACACGAAGACCAGATGAAAATGATTATTGAAATATATACAAAACATTAACAACATTGAATGACTAGAGCTGAAATTTATAGTTAGAATAAAAGAAAAACATGTGAAATTCATTTCCTTCATTTCTATCATCATCTATTACTTGTGAGAGGAAACCGTACAAGTTGTAAAAATGTGTAGGATTTTTCGCTGATGTCGGAACTACATTTCTCATTTCTAAAAAAAATATTTCATTCATATATATCTATAAATATATTTATATATATACATATATATTTCCAGCAGAAAAGGAATATTGACTTTCTCATGATCATTGTGCTTACATATGACTAACCATTTGGTGGATCTCAGTTGAAAAAAATATAGATAAGTCTGCGTTTCATTGTATTTTATTTTAAAGAAAATGGTTCTGAATATCGAAGAAAAATGATGAATTTGGTATTTTTCAGTTGCTATTAGCGATATTTTAACGAGATATTAGTCCGCAGTTAGAACTTCTACATTGTTTACTAGTAAATACAAAAAGTTGGGCAACTCATTCTGTCATAAAATGATGATTTCGTGTTACGAACTAATTAAAAGACATTCTCCTTAATTTTAATCAAATTTACTGCGCTTTAAGTAGGATTTTTAACAATGAGCATTTTGTTTCCATCAAAGAGTTTATCTTCATTTTCGAAGCTTCAAGTTGGTCTTGAAAAATAAACGACAAACAAAGCACCTACAGATAGCTCAATTTCACTTTGCATTTTCTTAGAAAAAATGCTTTGAACAAACTAGAACTTATTTATTGACTAAAAATTATATCTTTCATAGAAAATAGAACCAAAAATAGCAATTCTTATGCTTAAATGTCAAAAAATATTCAAAGAATCATAGTGACGCAATTCAACCCGCGAGACTCGAGGAGGCTCGCCACAAGAGACGTTGCCTTTGCGAAAGATAATACCATCCTTTCTCTATTAAAAAAATATATACTTTATCAGTTGTTTTTTTTTTTTCAGTTGGTGCACGGAAAAACACTCATGTTTTACGATTTTCTGGTGTATGTGAGATATGATCGTTAAGAACTTCAAATTCTCCCTCTGGCTATGACTGTTAAGGTTTATTGCCTAATTGAATATTAAACAATCATTACAGAAAAAGGAAAATTACCCAGAGAAAAACAATAACAACCACCTACATATTTCAACTTAGACAAGACACCAGTTTTGAAACCAGTCAGTCAAAACTCAACCAAATATGTAACCATTAAAAAAGGAGATTTAAATATAATATTTTTGGATGTCCAAAGATAGCAAAGCTGGTGAAAGAATGAGTAATCTCGAAGGAAAAAAATCGAGAGACATCGTTCTCTTGAGATCAGCTGTTGAGACGACTAAAGATTGTTTTTGTGATGTCTTTATACAAGCGCTTTTGATCACCGTAACGGTTATTTTGAACAAATAGCATTTTTTATTGAATATGGCAACGAAAAACGGAATAAAAATAGTTCTTCTACCATAATAATATGGCTTTTTATCGACAAAGCATACGATATCTAATAATGTGCGTATTACAAAAGATACAGGTTTTTCCCACTGATGTGGTTTATACATTTATTTTATTCATTTTTGCCTAATTCAATGATTTTTTTTTAGTTGAATATTTTCCTAGAAATGATTGGTAAAGTCCTCTAATGTCTTGTATCTTAACGTGTATGAGACACCAAATCAAAAAGGCCACAAGCTCTCGGGTAAAATATTCTCCAAACGAATCTCGATCAATATTCTCAACGATATCTTGCCTAAAATTTCTGATAAAATTTTTGAGTAGTCATAAGGATTTTTAATACATTTTTAGCACGTGCACATTTGATCAAATTTTATCACTGAAGACTTTTCGCGCTCAAACAAAAACACTTATTAACAGACCTCCAGCTTGGCCCATAAACTGTGATTTTTATTTCTAATACTTTGAGAAAGAAAAAAAAAATGCGTGATATGATGTATGGAATAATAGTGATTCTAGTTAAAAACCGTTCTTGTAACTAGTTTTTATTATAATGCTATCTAGTCGGATAACAGGTAGTTGATCCTTCCTAGGTCTGATTGCGATCTTTTTTTAGTTAAAATCTAGGGGATCCACGCGGTATTTTGTAAGAAGATACCAAACATCAATTCTTTAGAAAATAGATTGATGGAAAAAAGTCGCGCGCAAAAGTTCTTTTTCATTAACCTCTGGATTTCAGTTTTTCAACTTATGATAATATTTACCAAGACCCGAGACCCAAGATCTTTTCTCTGACGTATTCTGCAGAATAGTGTGAAGAAGAACTGTGAAGCTTTTAGATGGATTGAAGATTATAAAACAACCTCATTCAAAAATGACACCTTTGTTATTTTCACCTTATTTAGCCCTTCTTGATAGGTTTTGAAATAATTTTTCCATCAAGAGACAAAATGTCGACTATCGATGACACTCGAGGTCTTATCAGTTTTTCAGGCCATAAAACTGATCTCGCTCGATGGTATTCCTATATGTTTTAGCAACACATCAAGCCAATATACACCCGAGCAATTCTACTTTAGTATATTGTTCATAGTTGAAAACACTTATGGAAGTAAGGGGCTTCTAGGAGTTCAAAACTTAATGTGTTACACTTATAATTAAGAAATTTTCTGAGTGACAAATTTTCAGCGTGTTAAAATAGCCTTTAAAAATAGAAAATAGATAGATGGACTTTATAAAATATCAGTAAAAGGGTTGAAACTCAAGGCATTTTTGTTTAAAATGAATGCCTCAGGTTTCTTTAGTATTTTTACTACGATGCTTTCAGTTACAGCCTTGAATAGTCGGACCAATTTTTCATAACATATTTGAAATTGTAAGTAAGCAATTTTTCAAAGGTGTTAGAGAACTTGAAGATTTTCGATTGGTAGTTTTACGGGATGTGAGACTTTATTCGAGGGAAATTATACTATCAAACTGATAGACATGATCTTGTTGGAAATGACTTCAGAAATATCGGAAAAACATTCGATTTCACCTGAAGCACATGGCCGCCATCATTTAAGTTTCAAACTCACAGCTATGGCTGAAAGACTTCAGTGGACAGATTTGGAAAATCCGAGTCAGGAAAACGTGGTTTTTGTGTTTATAAAAGCGTATTCTTTTTATTAATACATAAGAGGAAAATTTATTGTGATTATAAGTGCCAAAACTAGAACTGAAAGAAAAAAATGAAGTTTTGAGCATTCGTTTAGAAATATCATAAGCCAAAATATACTCTGGTCCTGGAGATTCTTAAATAAGTTTCAATTTCTAAAGATTTTTTGCTTGTTGCTGTAAGTTCCTTTCTCTGGCAGGCATTATGCGTGGCCTCAACAACGTGTTAACGTTTTGGAAAAACTAACAATGGCCGTTTACTCCGATTGAATTAAGCTGCACAGATTTTTACTTCTTCTTTAAGTTTCAAAATTCTCCGAGGTAGCTTGAACACAAGGTTTTTTAACCTGAAAAAAGGCTTGGAAGATGACCTCAATAGAGTAGAACTGCATTAAGAATAAATATATTTTTATCACCCAGCAATACGCATCAATCAATTGACAACGACACAAGCAGCACCGATCAATGGGATTTTTTTTTTTTTTTTTTTTTTTTTTTTTTTTTACGACGACACTCAATTTTAGAAAATAAATCCATCGTCAAAGACTTTAAGGTTTGCTTTTTCCTAGAATGCTAGCTAGGTCTCAAATCGTCAATCATAATTGATAATCGATAACAATATAGAACATTTTCTATTTACACATTCATGATGATTTGGTTAAAACCATTTCACCGGCGACACAAAAGCACTTTGTTTGGTTGAAAGTTCTGTTTTTTAAGATTGGCTTGATAAAATCATGACATTAACACCCCAGATTGGACATTTTAAACTAGAACAAATTTCCTTGAAAAACTCCACATTTTAAATGCAAAAATACTAAAGAATACAGCCAAAACGTTGGAGATTTTCCCTCGGAAGATTTTAAGCTACAACTATTTCAAGAATGGAATAAATTAATCGTATCTATTTATTATCTTGCGCGCACACCAGAATATCCGTCATATACCGCTTTGATCTTTCGATTACTTGTTTTGTTTTTGGCCTAGAAACTTTATTTTTCTATTATTTTATTTATTTTTAATTCTTTTTCTGTTAAATAGAAAAGTACGAAATTCGTAAGTTTATGCTGAGTAGAGGAAAAACAATTTGCTTCTGACGGTACATTTTTCAGTAATGRGTCACCATTTTATTCGATTTAGCAAGTTTCTGTTTCAACAGTTGGTAAACTATTTTCAAGCAAAAGTCTTTGCTAATTAGAATTCGAGCACAAGATAATGCAACGTTTTAAACAAAAATATGTTGCATTTAATTCAAGAGAAATTCTTTGTCCTAGCCCTGGACTGCAAAAAAAACAATATTTTCAATCTATCCAGATGTAAGCAGCTGACTTTTATACTATCCGCGTAAACCAAAAAACCACGAGATAAACTCATGAAAATTGATCATACTCTCTATATTAATGCTTTTCATTGTGAAGGCAAAAATAGATCAAAAGCAAAATATGGTTTGCACGTTATTTTTCCTTTATATCATTAAAAAAATACTATTTGGCAAAAATAAAAAGCTACTTTCAAACGCTGTGCTCAACCTCTTCATAAAAATTACTATCCATTGTTATAAATATTTTAAGCATTTACCATTAGAAAGCATACCAAAATTGTCTAAACACCTCAAAAAATACTGTTATGGGAATCACGATTGTAAGTAAGTTTGACGTAAATTCGAAAGCTGTGAGTTTTTGAATTTCGTTTTTTGTGTGTTAGTAAGATTAATTCGCTCGATTACCCAAAGTGGTTTTATTAATTCAAAGGTCAGTTCTTTTAGTTTGTAAATGTTCTCAATTGGGCGCTTATCAAGCCATTTATCCATGTTAGAATGATGGCGAGAAATACATATGCAGTACACTGCACTTCTGCGTTTTACGTGATTAAGATCACTAGGCAAAGAGCGTTGTAGAATAAAATTGCTAAAAAATTGTCCAAGTAAATTATAAGTAAGAAGCAAAAATTCAAAGGCAAAGCCACATCATTTATATTTAATTCCGAAAATAGTACTCTCCTCCGCTAGTATATTGATATTTTGGTATAAAATGGAAAATGCTGCTTATTCCCAGTTATAATTTAAACAATTACTCATCAATGAATGAGAAGAGTAGCTTATGTGAAAAAAGTTAAAGGTTAAAATATTCAAAAAGTCTTTTTAATTAGTATTATATTAAATAAGGGTAGAAATTTGGAAGAGAAAATATTATTTTCTGAATCCTAGGGGTAAAGTAAAGTGCCATGGAAACCAAAGACTCGGAGAATTATTTCTTTTTGTTTTTCAAATCTGTCAGTGTTGTATAAAAAATACTTGTTTTAATGGCTTTGCTGCTCACGCGGTGATTCTGTGTTCACAGCAAAGGCCAAGGGGAAACAAATGATAAAATATTTAAATATTCCCTCTTTGTACCTAGAAAAATTTTCTTTTGAATAAAGAAACAAAAATCATTATTGTATTCGCAATATGGGAAGTTGAAATCTCACCTCGAAATATTTCGACTGTCTTTACACGGATTCAAGCTATTTTTTTATTTGATATTGTTAAATGTGAAAGTAATATCAACAAAAATACGAGTAATTATGCTCCCGCTGAAATTCTATAGGCTTTGGAGAARTATTTTTCTATATGTCTTAACTATAAAAAAGAGTTTTGAAGCCACCAAAATTGTAAGAAAGATGGAATTAGCCAGCGTATTGCGAGCGTGATGGCACAAGTTGCACACGGCTTTGAGACATTAGATTGGTAATTCTAATAATTATTACTGAAAATAATTTTTATTTCCTAAAGAGACAAAAAGCTTTATTGCTTTATATCAAGGACATAGCTTTTGATTTATTAAAATAGGCTCTAGGTGATTAGAAGCGTGAAGTTATAAGGTAAAACTCTTTCTTTGAATGTAAATTCTATCCATAGCCGGTGTATTGCACGCTTGTCTGGTTGTGTCATTCACCAGAATAATACACACTTCGAGTCACAGAAAAATGACTCATTTCTAAACTCATTTAGAATTCTTTTAAGTTCCTTTTACTTCTAATTTATTTTCACTTTCGAGTTCCTCTCGAACTAGCATTTCGAGAGCTTCCTTCCTTGAGAGAAAGTATTTTATCAAGATCGTAGGCTCGAGAATTGATGAATGTGCATAGTAAAATGTATACAGGTTACTGCAGGTCTCTCAGACCAAAACAAAAGCCTAAACAGAATTCTAAACACGTCGTGTGAAAGTAAATCACAAGGTACAAACCTGTAATGCGAAATCCACCAAGAAATATTACCATACACGATGTAGCGGTGACCAAAACTCGAATGAATCCCATCCTCAAATAACGTATAAAATGCAAAATATAACCAAGAACGTTACTCTCAAGCGCATTCTTTTTGTTTGTTATTATTGGGGAGGAAGAATTTATTCCGTTGCGTTTTTGTCTCTCACTTTGGCTTGGAATCGCTGGCCGGGCTGGATAATTTTTCCCCAAACGCTTCCATCTTGCAGTTGCGTTAGGAGTCACCGATAAAGATCATATTTGAGAAAACTTGGAAACGTCCGTTTAAACAGGTGGGGGGAAGGCTGTGTCGAACGTTTTTCCCTTACCACGTGCAAGCCTTCATTCGACCCTTGAGGGCACGTCATCAAACGTCACTGATCAGCTCTTAGTAAAACCGCTAAAAATTCTTGCCTTCCCAGCAAGTGCAAAATTCACTATTCTGTCATGTGATTCTGCTTGATTGGCTAATCTCTATTTTTCTTTAAATTCAGCCAATAGGAGAGCGAAATTTGTGATAATACGATCCCAAACACATATTTATTCAATTATTTTCCTTCACTTATCTCACAGCAGGACGTCAGTATTTCCATATTTCTATTTTTTATACAAACGCAACCCAATTCTAGGGGGTCGGCTTTTTTCATGGAAATATTAAATTTCTGCGGGGAAAAAGCCGAAAATCAGGAACTGAATATTGCTTTGCAAAATCGACCACTGGTTTGTGCAACCCTATATACCTTGAACCTGTGTTTAGAAGATCGTGTTTATTAGACATCTAGATTTATTATTTACGACTTGGCAATCTTTAGGGCGTATCAGGTTCTTATTGACCAACCTTTCAAGTGAATTGAAAATGTTTTTGAGTATAAATGTATTGAGCCAAGACATGATTGGACTCGTCGCTGGCAAGTTCTTGGTCTCAAGACGTAAACCTTATTCCAGGGAAGTAAAAAGTAGATGCCAAAAATAGTTCTCGATGCAAGAAATTTACTGAGCGAGCAGTTTATATAGTACTGATACAAAAGCCCTTGCTGAAGTCAATAGCGACTGTCGCAACTATCTCGTGATTATCAAGGTTCACCCTCCAGTCTTCAGTCATCTTCACTTTAAGGCTGTGAAACAAGAATGCCGTTCATGTCAAAATTCAACCTTTCATAATGCATACATTTTTCTTTGGTTGACAAAACCTCAATCTTAAATTTATTTATCTCAATTCGGACAAAATTACTAATTTTTTCTGCATTAACCAGTCGATCTCAGCAGTTGGTCCCAAATCTACATTCCTTGATTGCACGAATACTACTTTGCTCAAGAGCACTACTTCATTCGCGGTATCTCAGTCACAAATTATTATCCTCCGCTGATTCTCAAAAGATCATAATGATAATATAGCGAATTGTTGACCAAGTTTTTTTGCTGCTTAAAGTCGAAATTACGTTAGATAAACTTATCTTAATTTTGTATTGTGAATGTCAGCAGGAAATTATTCGGTCATTCGCCGTAGCTTGCTTTTGAAACCGTACCAGCGTTTATTTCCGTAGATATCATATATACCAGCTTTGGTTTCTAACCCTTTAAATCCTTAGCAAAACATTCATTTGGAAAGGTCACCTTTTTCTCAATTAATGCGCTATTATTTTAGCAAGCTTGTTTGGAATTGGCACGTTCAATCCCAGAATCCTTTACAAGTTGTGAGTTGTTTTGGCGGGAAAATCATTGAGTAAGATGAGCCAAAGTGCGTTTCGTGTGGTGCTTGAATTAAGCTGAATCGGTTATTGTTATTTCTGTGTGGTTTACATGGCGGTTTTATACTATAATAACTTCTTTTTGAAGACATATTCATTCATGGGCAAAAAAAAAAAAAACAAACAAAAAAACTAATTGCTTGCTCAAATGCACCCAGACATTGAAAATTAATGAGTTACATTGACGGGCTGTCTTTTTAAAACTTAAAGTTTCCGTCGCATGATTTTACGAATGTTTATCCGGATCATTAATGAATGAATCGAATTAAAGATGGAAGTTGCTAAAGAGAAATGAGGGGATATTTTGTACTTCGCCCAAAGAGATCTAATGAGTTATACATAAATGATAAAAGGGTAAATTATACACCGTGAAAAGATGAAAAAACTTACTGACGTTTCGGACGCTAGTCCTTCGTCGGAGTAAAAGAGAAAGAGGTGGTGAGTTATACATATGATACGTTAAGGCTGTTTACGTCTTTGTTGATGATTTGAGGGTAAATGACATGCTAATTTCGGTAATTGCACGTGGACTGGAGTCAGGGGGAAATTTGTTGATAGCAAGTGCATTCCATATGCCTAGCAACGTCGATATTTTCATCATAGCAACCAATATCAAAGCCCACAAGGTCTCTTTAAAAACATGTTTAACAGACTCGCTATAGCGTCACCACCCACCCCCACCCCCAACCCGACCCCCTTCCCCCCTCCCCGTACAAGCTGAAGGCCCGCTTATTCATTATTGGATCTTTTTTATTTCATTTTTTTCTTTAGCTTTGGATTTTATCTGTATACGTCTGGAAATCCTTAGAATTTTATAGCACTTCTTAATAGGGAATGGCTGTTAGTATAGTATAGACATTCTATTTTCATCTCATGTGTATGAATACGACCTGCTGCATGCATAATCATGATTATAATTATAAATAATTTCTTATTCAGCATACCCACTTGATTTAAACATTTTAGGGTAAATTTTAGTCTGAAATAAGTCGCGATCGATATATTTGGTAGAAAGTATTCGCGTAGGGAAGTAAGCATATTTTTCCGTACTTGATTAGTTGACTTAGTACTGTTTAAAAAACGAGCAGGAGTGTTTTATCGGGTATAAAACACGAGGCGCAGCCGAGTGGCTTTAGACCCGATAAGACACGATCTGCGAGTTTATTAAACGACTTAGAAAACTCATGATGTATGTTCTTATAATGTACAGAATTATTTAAGAAATGAACCAAGTTTGATAGAGAAAATCCAAGTTAAAGTTTATGCAAATGAAGACGAATCTATATCAGATATAAAATCACCTTCATAGTCAYGATTTCTATTGTGTTTCCTTCATGAATTATTAATGAGTTTTCTAAGCTCTTTTACTCCGACGAAGGACTAGCGTCCGAAACGTCAGTAAGTTTTTCATCTTTTCACGGTGTTAAATTTACCGTTTTATCATTACAGTTTCATTACAAACACCGACGCAGCTCACACTAGTTTTTAGCTAGTTATTTCTTCTAGTTGACTTAGGGTGGTTTTCACCCAACTTCAAATAATGAAGAGTTTATTGAAAAACGTTTTCAAAGTTCAGATCGTTAACTGGACATTTAGCCTGTACACTTAAGAAAACCAGGTTATGAACACTTTGAATGCACAAGGAGCCGAGAGACTGAAAAATATCTTGATCTTCGAAGCTGGAAAAAAGCTAGCAGTACTTGGGAAAATGGAGTTTTCGTTGGACCACGAACTTTAAGGGAATTGACTTTGCGCCACCTTTGAATTCGTAGTTTCAGTTTGGCTATTGGAAAATGAATTTTGGCAAAAAATATTACCGTAATAACTGAATGTAAAAATGACGATATTAGTTTGTGAAGTATGTTTCTTGAAATAGTCTTGTTCGTTCTTGTTGGAATATGGTACGATAATGGTATGCGCAGTTGAGACTTTCGGTCCGAGATTCAGGTTGCAACCAGAACCTCTCGTTTCTCCACAGGCAGCCCAATATCTTGTTCTGTGGTGTTGTGGTATTTGAATATTAACGGTAATATTTTGTAGCGTGTAAAATTAGTACTTTTAAATAACATAAAATAGGTCCGGTATTTAAAAACTCGCGACGTTGAACTCCAACTGTGGATTTATGGTGTAAGAAGCACTCGAGTTTTATCAAGAATAATCAATTGAGCGTACTGGAGAGCAGCAAGAAATTATATACAAGAAACTATCATTACTAAAATAAATTAACTAAATGTAAAAACACATTTATAAAACAATTTGGATAATATTAATGAAAGAAAATAAATAAATGAATGGGTTTAAATGAATAAAATGCTAAACTATTAAGTTAAAATTTATATAAAAAGTCACTATGTTTATTTGCTACCATGGGAGCATCAAAGGAAAAATTATTTATGTCTTTAGAAAAATTTCGTAAAAATTGTTTAAATTTGTCTTTACTTGTAGTCTCTTTTATGTTGACTTTCCTGTTCAAAAATGTCCAAATTACCGGTCCTCTATATTGTGCCGATTCTTTTCCGATTTCCAACCTCACTCGTGGATGAATTTCCAACTGTATGCCCCTTCGGGAAGACCTGGTGGTACTCTTTACTTTAAAGAGGGACTTGATGTGAAGGGGGACTTTGTATAATTTGGTGATATACGAATAAAGCGATTTTTTAAGGACACTAGATTTGGAGAAATAAGTCATGTGCGATCATACGAAAACACTTCACGGTTGAAAAAAACGCCCCTGTCTCAAAAGTCAGAGATAAGACAAATGCAAATTTCGCATACAATTTGCTGTAGTGATATATATATGAAAATATTTATGTAATCAATCTACTTGGATACAACATATGACCTTATATTTAGCTAAAATGTTCGACATGTCTTTGAACCATGTTCGCCACGTGTACATTATTTGATTGTCAATCCCCCCCCAAATTTATTGGATTAAATTGCATACATTTTTTTACATAATTAACTACACGCGCACCCTGCTAGCAGAAACATTTCACTCGCTCACCGCACTTGCTCGCTTACTAAGATATTATCGATAATTAAACTTTATCAAACGTCTCAAGTCATCCGCTAACGAACGTTACGCGAAGCATACTTTCGGACTTCATTACTATATATCATCGGGAGCTGGAATCTCACTATTCGATGTAGGATGATGTCTAGCACTGAGCATACTCACACTCGCCGACATAGCTGTGGTCATAGCTTTACCTTCGAATCATTTATGTCAAAAGAATCAAGAAAAGGTTGATGCAGGTTGCATCAGATGAAATATGAAATAGCCAGATGACCCGATGATGAGGAGGTCAAGATATAATGAGTAATAACGCATAACGCAACGCTCTTGTCAGGGAAACGTGAAGAGGAGCACAGGGAACCCAATATCTCAAGAGTGTAAGTAGGAATCAGAGGGTATCCACGAGTTTGCCATGCGGCAGGTTGATTTGTATTCTTTTTGACACAATTCAACAGCTCGTGTGACCTGTAGAGCAAATCCTGGTGACTAGAAACAGTTTCTTTTGATTATAATTTTTGTCTTTATTTTTGCTATGGTTTCAATAGACCCCTTCACAGTTCCCTGCGCCATCTTGAAAGGTAGCCGTGCCTT